TGATCAAAATTTGAATTCGATTTCGCCAGGTAGAAATCGTTTGACTTCTCTTTTTGTTATTTATTTTTCGTTGTTACACTATAAAAGCGGTTTTAGGAAAATGTTACAATACTAATATTTCTCAGAAAAAGGTCTACAGTTATAGTGAAACTAAATAGTTTCACATCGATAAAATTACCTTTAGGTATATTCGTTCTTTCTTTTCGCAATGAAGTACTGATTGTTTCTTTTAATAAAGCAATATGGCGGCACTCACTTCGCTATGTGGTATTTGTTATGCGGCTTCGTTGTATTCGTCCAAATCTTTGTCCATTACCTTTCATTTGTCCACTCAATTATACAGAAGATATACCACAAGTCAAAGCGTAATAGGTACGGTAGTTGTATATAAAAACATAAATTTTTGGTCGAATTAATGGTTCAAGAATAACGAGAGTTACAATAAAGTTAGATTAACCTTGTGTTGGTCGCATGGTGACCGCAAGGCTCACCATTTTACTTTTTTCTTAACATTTTTCACAATTTTATTCACATTGGCAACTGCGCTCATGTAATCCTTCCTACTACTATTGTGTATAGAATGTTTTACGCAGAATTGTGATCGAGCAACCGTCAGTCTATTCCAAGTATTAATTAAACGCAGATGTCGAGAAATGAGCGATTAGCTCACCCGCGACTAACGACGTGACGATTTTGGAAAGCTACAGAACAATTTTTGTTGGGTTTTTTTTTATTGACTTTGTGTTTTAAATCATATAACTTTAAAATATTATTGTGTAATGGATCCTAAAGAAAAGGCCAGACTGTTAAAAATATATGAAGAATTGGAGCAAGAGGATTTGTTACTTGAACAGAAACAAGAGCAAAATTTGAACGATGAAGAAAGCGAAATAGATTCAGTAGAAGTCAGTTCTAATCATGAGACAGACTCAGAGTTTTCGGCCGATGATACGACAAATACTATTTCAACGTTTTGGTCTGAAGATGGTCCCAATTATATCACACAAGAGCTGAACGCAAATTAATTGATAAGCTAGCTCCAATAAGAAATATATTTGAGAAATTTATAGAAAGATGCCAAACCTACTACACGCCTGGTGAGGACTGTACTATTGACGAAATGCTGGAGGGTTTCCGTGGAAGGTGCAGCTTCAGGCAATATATCCCGAGTAAACCAAAAAAATTCGGGATAAAAATATTTGCCTTGGCTGAGAGTCGTTTATTTTATAATGTGAAAATGGAGATTTACGCAGGAAAGGAGCCTAATGGTCCATTTTGTATTGACAACAGTCCAGCCAGTGTGGTGAAACGATTGTGTGAACCCATTATGAATTCAGGACGAAATTTAACCTGTGTTAAGTTTTACTTAACACAGGTTAATTAAGTAGTTACTTTTTACAATCAAACAAAATCGGGAGTAGATTCAGTGGACCAACTGAAGAGTCTTTATTCAGTGGCAAGAATCACATGTAGGTGACCATTGACTGTTTTTTTACTATGCCAAACATTACTGGAATAAATGGAAACATTATATTTAGGACAAATGTATTAGACTCCTGCCATTCAAGACGTGAGCATCTGAAAATTTTAGCCAGACAACTGATTACCCCACATATGCAAAAAAGAGCTGCCCAAAACTTGCCATTTCTGCTAACTTTGCAAATTAAAAAATATCTGAATCTTTCTTTGGCACAGAAACGAGGATGTTCCTGAGGAAAATCAAGCAGGTGCAAGGCCAAAATGCTCCTATTGTCCCAAGAAAAAAAATCGGAAAACAGCGTAAAAAGCAAAGTGTTTCAGAGCAATTTTTAAAGAACATACAATCACCATTTGCACAGAGTGTGAACGCGACGAAGTTCCTGAATCTGAGTAATTTTTTTTGTTATTCTAGTTGCTGTTTCAGAATTATGCTTATTTATGTAGATGTACCAAACTTTATATTTTATGTTTTATTCCTTTTTGTATTTTATTAAAAATATTGCTTTTTTTAGCTTTGATAAATAAATCATCATATTTATGCCTTTTTATTTTTTTGACTCATAAAAAGTCAAAATAAGTCATATACATGACAAGTGAGTTCACACAAGTAGTATACATGACAAGACTAATGGTGGTTCATTTAACAATGCTATCAACGCAGGGTTAAGATAAACAGCGAAACAACCACCGACCGGTGCAAGCTAAGTGTGGGAAGTCGACATATTCGATTATTCCTGTCCTTTGAAGTGTGCCAAAAAACCGACAAGTGGACGAATAGACATATATTGGCTATTAGAGTATTTTCTTATACGTGTGAATAAAACATGTCAAATGTACCCTCTACACTTCGTCTTATGCAGCCGAATAACGAATAATACATAGCGATGTGTCGTGCCGCCATTAAAGTTCGTACACACCATTTATCACGCTACACTCTCGATACCGATATTAATCTGGGTGAAATGTTACATTGTTGAAATTTACATCACTATCAATCTCAGTATCATTTCGGATTTACTGCAATTTACTTTGGCGGCTGTAACTTAATGGTTATAGCAATATGGTAATAACTCACAAGCCAGAGGTTTTGAGTTCGATCAGCGCTACTACATTAGTAATCGTTAAGCCATGTTACTGGCGCTTGCGCGACTTGAATGCGCTAACATAAACGAGTTTTTTTACGAATTTAAAAAAAAGTATTTCTGGTTCGTTCTACTCTGCTCTTTATTTCAGTCTTAAACTATCGTTTAGCAGACAACCCAAGTATTTAAACTGCCTGACTAGGTTTCTTCTCCAGCTACATATATCTTTGCATTTAGGTAATTATTTTTATCTATAAACATTGTTTTTGTCTTCTTGATATTTATTTTCAACACCAAAGCTTGACTTGCAAGAGTTAGATCATTTAAAAGACATTGGAAATCTTCGATGGTATCTGCCACTGTCGTTGTGTCAACGGCATACCTAATACACTGCACTCCAAAATTAACGCATAATTTTAAAAACCCTGGTAAATCAAATAATTTTAACGTTTCGATTTTGGTGCTAATATATTATTGTTACCCCCGGTATATTCTAAAATTAATCGAAAGAACGGTAAAAAACGCTGCGATTTTTTGCAAAAAAATTAAAAACATATCAATTGTGCTTCATCTTAGGTATTTCTAATTTAGTTGAGTTGGATTACGTTATGCTGAACGTTTAAAGGGGTTTTTCAAGTTTATTAGGTGTTTTTTCTTTGAAATGAACCACCAGCAGCAAGAAAATCGAAATTTGTCAGAAAGTGACTGTTTTAGAATCGTTACTCTTCGCGAAGAAGGATACACTCAAGTAGAACTCTCTGAACTCTTTAACGTCACCCAGTCAACCATTTCAAGAGTGTTAACACGTTTTTCTGTTACTGGAAGTAACTAGGGAAGATCTGGTCAAGGCCGTAGAAGGGTTACAACTCCTAATCAAGACCGGTTTTGACACTTCGTACACTGAGACAAAGATTTGTTATCAGTACTTCTCTACAAAATGAATTTTTTGGATCGTTATAACTTTAGAATCAGCCAAAATACGATTAGAAGAAGACTTGCAGAAAACGACCTACACCCTGGAAGGGCACCAATTGGCCCATTGTTGACCAGAGACCATAGAAGGCAAAGATTGCATTTTGCGCGTGAACATGTTGATTGGAATAATGACGATTGGGGAAGAATATTGTTCACCGATGAATCCAGGTACTATCTTTTTTCTGATGACAGGAGAAACCGAGTGTGCAGAAGGCCTGGGGAACGCTACGCACAGTGTAACGTCGTAGGGACTGTACAGTATGGCAGCGGCTCGGTAATGGTGTGGGGTGGGATTAATTTAGAGGCTCGTGTGGAATTAGTTAGAATAGATCGCGGTCAGCTTACATCTCAGAAGTATATAACAGACAATTTAGAAGACCATGCCGTGCCATTTGCACCATTTATTAGGGATAATTTCATGCTTATGCAAGATAATGTCAGGCCACACACGGCAAGAATTGTGCAGCAGTATCGTCAGGAGGTTGGAATTCCTGTCATGGATTGGCCTGCAAGAAGTCCTCACCTCAACCCAATAGAACATGTTTGGGACATCATAGGCAGACGACTACGACAACTAATACCTAATGCACCAAACACATTAGGTGAGCTGTTTTTGCGGTTGGTTGAAATTTGGGATCAAATTGATCAAGAAGAAATCCGAACGATTATTCTCAGTATGAGAGATCGTTGTCAAGCAGTAATAACTGCCAGAGGAGGCAATACTCGATACTAGTACACGGTACTAGTATTTTCTTCAACTTTAAAAATTTCAATTTCGCCATTAATTTATAATGTTGGTTTGTTTAGATCACTTGTTTGTTTAGATGTTTAGATTTATGATGTTATATTGTTAATGTCAATACATTTTTTGTAAAAAAAGAAAAGTTTTTTATTTAAGATGTTCTAAAACAACCATAAAGCAGAAAAGAACAAACAAAAATTTTTTTCATTATAACTCAAAATAAGAATTTTAAAATTATGCGTTAATTTTGGAGCGCAGTGTATTATTAATAAATATGCGGTTTACTATAATACCCTTATTATAGTATGCCACTGCTTTTGCGAATGTTTTTTTCTACGTATAAGTAAAACAATAATGCAGAAAATTTACAACCTTTCCTTACACCCTTTTTATTAAGAAATCTTCTTTTTCGTTGAAATTTTGAAGACCTCTTGCGGTCTAGTTCCAATACAGACTAGCGAATATAGACTGAATCGAATTCTTTAGAATTGTTAAAACATTTACAAATGAAACTTAAACTGAGATTTCCTTGTAAAATTTTTGATTGCCATCTTTTATATGGGAAAACATTTGAATTTTTAAGAATTTTATATGGTATACCTTTGACCAATATTTCATCATGACTAATATCGATATCGAGGTAGGAGCGGGACGCTGGTGTATACGGATCGTTATTTTGTTTTTTATCTTTACATTTCTGTATATAAATACATTTTTCTTAGATTAGGTTGTGAAAATTTTACGGATCCCTCTATAAAACCGACACCTGACAAAGGAGCTACCAGGTCCCTATTTTTCCCGGATGAAGCGATCTATCCTGGTCATCCTAGATTCGCGAATTTAGCCAGGAACATTAGAATGAGGCGTGGTGAAAAAGTTGCCATTAATTTACCAAGTAAGTATTTTTGAAGTTACTTAAAGGCCCCATGCGTGTTTCTTAATAAAATTAAATTAAACTAAAATACAATAAAAATAAATTAAATAAAAATAAAATCAAATACATTAAAATAAAACAAATTAAGTTAAAATACAGTAAAATAAAATACAATCCAACAAAAAAGATAAGAAAGCTGTGTTCCCCCTCGTCAGTCACTCCGGGAATGCCACAATTCGTTTTTTAATTTGTCAATTATCAAGTCGACTGGTCCAACGAAGACTGTAGTAACTCATTTTTTATGTAATTGAGATAATTATAAAAATGTATTTACACTGTTACCAAAATTCATTAATCTATTAAATGGATGTTTTTTATAGCATTAAGTGATACTTTTAATAATGATCTTACAAGGGTAAAACAGATTTAAGACAGAAATGGTCATAAGTGACTTTTGAATGAGTTATACTATAGTTTTCGATGGAGATATTTTTAAAGTAATAAATACCAGAATTATTTGTTTCTTAACTTTATTTATATAAAATGCTACATTTTCAAGAAGCTACTGATATAATTTGCAGTTTTATATTTTAATTCAATTTTCCTCATCCGACTCTTCTTCGCTCTCAACTGAATCAACTTCGAGCTCGACTTTAGGAGGTAAATAACTCTTTGAATTAAGATTTTTATAAAATCCATGGTACATTGTGGGTATTTTGCCGGTATTACACAGCCACAGTAATCCTTTTAGTTTCTTCAATTGGTAATGGTGCATCATACAGTTTCGGTGGAAATTTCATAGTAGTGGAAGGCCGTCCTCTGCATTTTCGATTTAATTTTATGTCACAACCTCTAAAACCATCATCGAATTCGTATTTAAACATTATAGAATTTTGGTGTTCATGCGAAAATTTTATTTCTCGTTTTTTGCTAACTTTTATTGATTTCTTTTCGTTGTCAAGTTTCCAATTCTCGGTATCAGTCAGTTTTTTAAAATTAAAAAAAATATCTTGGCATTTCCGTAACATCATAAACTCTTCCTGTAGTTTTAGCCATTCTAATTAATGTAACCGATTGTCTTTTCTTTGAATTTTCGATAACAGCATCCATACTGTCAGCCTCGTTCTGAGTGTGGCCTTTTTCCAGAAATCTGTGAACAATATCAATATGAAAATGAGCAGCAGCAAAAGCAAACATCGAAAACACAAAACGATTCCTATTTTGTCCCCCACAGTTGTCTTAGTAGAATATTATCGTTTTAACACTTTGTTGTGCCTTGAGATCTAAAAATTTCCAGAGGCAACTGGCAATTTCATTAGGACCTCTTTTAGCCACCTGCTCGTGCCATACATAGCAGTAACCCTGATTATTTCCAACATCATAAACTGTAAAGTTATATGTAGAGTATTTGCTTTTGTAGTAAAAATCACTTACGTTAGACAAAGGGGTAGCTAAAACCTTTTGAAGGTCAAAGCAAGCCACACACAAGCTCTTATCATCTAGTGCAAGTTGTTTGTCTATGTCTTTTAAGTTTCTGATAACTTCTTTGTTTTTCATATGGGACTCATATTGTTCGAGCAATTTTGCTTTTTCAGCATCACTAGCCATAATAAAAACAGAACAAACAGTACACTGGTCCTTTTTTGGTTTAAAGAACCCAATATTGAACTGTTCATTGAAAATATCTCTATACTGGCGTGACGTGGTAGCTGTAGTGATGTTATTTTTTTCGCAATACTCGTTGTACAATCGGTACATTTTCTGGATAGTTAGCCCTTCTTCAAGGTAAATCTTCATCGTATTCTTACGGGTATAATGGGAAGGTACTACAGGAAACTGATTTATGTGATTTTTTACGTTGTCTATAAGTTCTGGTGATAGTTTATGTGGTCTGTTAGTGTGCCTTCCTCTAATGATCCACCATCTTTCAGTTTCCTTAATGCTGTAGTGATCCAAGTTTCTGAAACGTTAAGGGTTTCCAAAAACATAGTTTTGCAAACACGTTGTTTTTTATTGCGAATGTAGAAGTAATATTCTCGAGAGTAATTTCTTCGAGACCGTTGTTCTGCAGTAATAGTTACTTGTTTTTTGGCAACCTGTCTCACATGACGAGCAATAAAATCCCACTTTCTCGTATTTAAACTTCCAAAATTCATTGAAAAAAGGTCTCTATCTTCTTTAGCTATTTTGGTAGCACATTTTAGTCTACATGTGTTTGCGCATGGTGCACCCGTCTGTCTTCGTTTAATTTGAATACCTTTTTGATTTTCATGTTCAAGTCCCAAGTTTAGACTTGTTTTAGATTTTTCATCCGCCCACTTACTAGCGTCTCTAATTCTTTTCCTACTTACTCTCTCTATATTGCCTCTGCTTCTTCTCTTTCTATTTGTGGTTGCTTCAGTTATATTCTTATTAGGTTTAATTATTACTTCAGGGATGTTTTTCTCTTCTGTCGGAATGTAATCTGGGTTAGTATCAGAGTCTGCATGAAATGGTTCCTCATTGCTTTCCTTCTCAATTATTTCATTTTTATTCCTATTGGCTTCATTCTCTTCTAAGCTTACTAAAATTAAACAAAAATGAGGTAAATGCCTACGTAATATTTTTTCATGCGGAATTTAAACCAACCTGTAGAACATTCAGGATTAATATGTCTCGTGGTCACCAGGATCCTCATTCGCCTTTTTGTATTTGCTTTCTTCTACAATACTTTCAGCAATATGTTTACCTTAAAAAATAAGTAGGTTTTTACTTTGCTGTTATTATTTTAAATAAAGTTTATTATAAATTTACCTTCAAAAGAACGGTAAGAAATATCCGTTTCAGTGTTTTTATACGCTTTCTCAGCTAATCCAATATTAACTCACTTCTGGAACACATTATGGCAATTATAACAAAACTAAACCTTTAAACATAACCTTAAACTAACGCAGAATACCGTAGTAACTCATGTTACGATACCTATGCTATCGCCTCAGATAACAACGAAGACTATTGTAACTCAAGATACGATGATTTTCTACGGTTGTTTTTCATAAATCGGAGATACTATAAAACTCTTACACGTAATATTGGTTGCATAACTACGTTTACTGAGATACGATTCTTTCCTAGAGAAGATATCATTATGTTTTATTGTTTTGCGCTCGTAACTCAAAAAGTGGAAAATTTGAGTTACTACAGTCTTCGTTGGACCAGTCGAAGTGCAGTGATGGTTACTTGTATTTTTTTAATAATTGAAGAGAATCGAAATAAAACCAGTAGCAGTATAATTAAACAACCAGCTTAATGCCGATGTATAGTTGACATTAAAACTACAGTGGTGTTAAAAAATCACCTAAGCGCCTTATAGTTTTTGAGTATATTTTTTTATAAGTTTTTTGTATATTTTCCCTAATTCATTTTCTTTGTGCTTGTAATTAGCATTATCGGTGATGACCAACCCCTTGTGGCAGATATTAAACTAAGATTAAAACAAATCCAGCGACGCCAACCAAAAACCAATATACTTAAGTTTGACGATATAAGCATAAAAGATTAAACATTAAAAAAGAATTTATCAATAGAATAAAGAACTTCGCAGAACAACTAGAAGATCCAGAGAAACTATGGAATGCATTTTAAAACCAAGTTAACGAAATCTCCACAAACAATGATTACAGAAGTAGCTTAATCAAGAAAAATAAATTGATGACAGAATACATTCTGAAATTAATGGAAGAACGTGGACTTGTAAAATGGAATATAGACATCTACAGAGAATATTTAAAAGTGAATTAAAATTAGATGAAGAAAAATAAATGAGAAAAAATGAGTCAAAGACAAAATAAAAAAGTCCTTACACATTTATGGATGTCAGTCTTTCACAAAAGATATTTCAATATTTGTGTCAAATCATAGTAATATTACAATTTCTTTAACTGGTGATTAAGATTTCAGTGTAGTTAGTTGAGTTGATAGAGATAACAGATTCACCTTAATATCCAATATATGTAGATAAGGATTTCCGGCAAATCTAGTAATGCGTGTGTATCTTCTTATCAGTATAAATAGTAAGCTCAAATTTGACCTACCAATCATGAATTGATATTTTTGCCAAACGCACTTACATTATCAACATATCAAAAGTGTATCATTTATAACATGCATGTGTTAATGCATGAATAATGCTTGTGTTGTTGTAAGTGCTACTTTAGCAGCACTAGACAACTAAATGCTCGATCATAACTTTAAGTACATAATACATACTAAAACATAACCTGGAGCTGACATTCATTGCCATCACCATCCTCTTGGATGGATTTTAGAGTAAAAAGATTTCTGAAAGTTAAAAGAAATTAAGTGATAAGGAAAATTGACATCTCACAACTGAAAAACCATGAAAAGAAAGAAATATGTATCAAGGAGAAAGAAATAAAAACGATAAAGAACTTGGTACATACTGAGGTTGAAGTAACATCGGCTGCTCTAAAAACGAAACACAAAGATAAATGAAAAGCGGAGACCGGACTAACCATGACCGGACTTATACGAGTATAAAGTCGTCTATATATGACTAATTCTAAATTAAAAAAATATTTGACGACAAATAGGTAAATTGATATACCGTTGAACTCTGCTAAACTTTATATAAACTCTTGTATCTCTCATCCGTTGGTAAATTTCTTCTGTCATGGCACATAGTTTGCGACTGCATAATAGTATCTAATTTCCTGTACATATGTACAAATACATGTTACCACGGTAAAGCTTAACCCTATAAGTATTTATCGATAAGATTTGATAAAATACCCTAGCACACTCGATCACAATAGACCACCGGAACGATATAATCCTATCTGAAATTATACCGAATTAAAAAAAAAATACATTCTACTATATTTTTTTATTTTATTCCAGTATATAAAGACATAAATACGAAGATACCGGTCGATGATTCCAACCAACACAGCAAGGCCGCTTTAGAAGATCATGTTTACATGGACGCTATGGGTTTTGGTATGGGTTGTTGTTGCTTACAACTCACGTTTCAAGCATGCAACATCACGGAAGCCAGAACTTTATATGATCAACTTACGCCGTTGTGTCCCATTATGGTAAGAAAAGACTATATTTTCTTAATACACGATATACACAAGTAACGATATGCTCTTGCATATGCAGTGGGTATTGCGTGACGTCAGATGGGAACCTCGATTTAAAGAATCATTGCTAAAATAGGAAGAATTTTTTTATAATTGTGTTTTAGATGTAATTTAATACTGCGGTGATGGACTATCAAGTTCTGAGTTCACAATGGGTGCAGATTTTACAAACCTTTCCACACATGTTAATTTGTGTGTATTCTAAATCACCCTGAAAAAGAAATAAACAGTCTTGTTTAGATATTAAATTACAAGTGAGAAGTGCTTATACGAAACTAAAATTAAAATCATATCCCAAGAAAGCAAACATTTTAAAATTCTTTAACATAAAAAATTCTATTATATAGAAGACATCTAACTATTATGTAGATATTTATGTAATTAAAAGACTAATAATAGATCATATCACTGTATTTTAGTTCATAGATAATCTTCACTGTTCAATAAAAGTGATGTCAATCCGAAAAAACCAAAACGTACCTCAACCTTGCACAATAAATGGGCACATTTTAGAACAGGTCAATAGATTTAAGTACCTGGGATGTTGGATCGATAGTAGCCTAAATCCTGGTCTAGAAATAAGATCGGGAATAGAACAGGCCAGAAAATCTTTCGAAAAAATAAAAAAACTGCGTTGTTATTCTCGAATAAAACTCGAAATTCGACTACGTTTATCAAAATGCTACGTCTGGTCGACTCTTCTATATGCAGCTGAAACGTGGACCCTTAAAACATCAACCGTAGATAAATTGGAGGCCTTTGAAATGTGGATCTACCGGAGAATACTCAAAATTACATGGACATCGCATACCTCAAACGAAGAAGTGCTGCATAGAATAGGCAAGGAAAGAGAACTTTTTAACACAGTAAAAGTTAGAAAAACATCATACCTAGGCCACATACTGAGAAATAATAAGTACCAATATGCCCAACTTATAGTGAAACGAAAAATCGAGGGAAAGAGAGGCCTAGGAAGGAAAAGACTATCGTGGCTCAGAAACATCCGACAATGGACAGGGCTAAATTTTGAACAGCTAATAAGAACAGCAGAAGATAGAGAAGAGTTTAAAATTGTAGTAGCCAACCTCCATTGAGGAGAGGGCACTTTAAGAAGATAGAAGAAGTTCAATAAAAAAAAATATAAAATTGGTACAATCTGAATTATCCAAATGCTTGTGTGGCTTGTAAAGAGAATATAATTTTTACCAACTAGGTACTCAGGCTGAGATTTCGGAACGTTGAATCTATCGGCAGCAGAACAGAATATCCTCAATAAAAATCTATAGGATGGATGTGGCAAAGCAAACGGGATATTCCACAAAAGGCACTTCTACCAAATAAGGGCAGTCCTGCGAATTGTTGAGGGTGCCATGTAATGGCGGCCAACTATATATTCTGGTTTCAGGACACATACCATAAATCCATTGCTATTTAGATAACACCGGGCCAATAAACATAGTTCTGGCAACTATTAGTGCTCCTGGTTACTTACTTACTCCGTGGCGTTACAACCCTTCGTGGGTTTTAGCCGACTCGACAACATGCCTCCACTGTTTTCTGTCTTGAGCAACCTCCATCCAATTCTCCACGCCCATAGTGCTTAGGTCTCCTGCTATATTATCTCGCCACCGAAGACGAGGGCGTCCGCGTGGTCTCCTTCCAGTTGGGACTTCCTCCCACACCACTCTTACTGTTCGTTCGTCAGAATGTCTTCTGAGGTGTCCTGCCCCTTGGAGTCTTCTGGACTTTATTTCTTTTATGATGTTGGCGTCTGGGTAAAGTTCTTCAAGCTCTTTATTAGTTCTTATCCTATATTGTCCTGATGCTTCATCAAGCACCGGACCAAAGATCTTCCTTAGGATTTTTCTTTCCCAAACACGTAGTCTCTCTTCATTTGCCTTTGTTATCGTCCACGTTTCGCTTCCATACATCACAACGGGTCGTATGATTGTTTTATAGACCTGTATCTTCGTACGTCGTGTTAGTTGTTTTAGTGCTCCTGGTAAGGGTATAAAATAAATATTTATTTGAAATATAAAAGAAAAGAAATTTTTCGGCTTACCTCGTCAAGAGACCACTCAAAATAAGATTTCGTTCTGTATTCTGGACGTCCAAAAAGAGAAAGGAGAGATAAATTGCAAGAAGGTTAGCAAAGCTTGGTAAGTCTCGCTTTTGGGGTCAATTTCGGAACTATTATGAAATGCAGTTTAATCCTTGAGGTAATTAAGGTGCTTCCACACTCGACGGATAGATGGCATGAGCAATATTAATTTGAATATTTTCTAGAAATCATAATAATAAATTTTTTAAACTTTGAAAAATTATTTAAAAGTTTTCAAACTTTTACACCATTTCTAAGCATCTTTTTAGGGGTAAAAGTAGGGGTAGCTCGCCTATAAAACAACAATTTGAAATAAAATTAATTATAATATATGTCAAAATTTAGTTGATAAAAATTAATTTTCATTAGATAAACAGGGCTTGTTTTTTGACAAAATGTCTTTATTCACTAACATTCTACTTTACATTCCTATCTGAATATTTTGAGATTTCTTTTTTCTTTGTTTATTTCTTTGTGTTGATTGTCCAGTTGCAAACTTTTCGTGGTATTCTCTCTTTATTCATTCGTCCAAGGCGCTCGTAGCATTTTTAATGTATTTCAGATATATTAACCATTATCGTTTTAAAAGAGACTGGTCTTGAAGCACATCAAACGATGGAGTGTTTGATGCAACAGAAAATGAACGAGGCAACGTTGCTCAAAGTCGGAAGAGACGTGGCAATGGTTCTTTAGACATTAGTTCCACTAGTACACAAACTAGTATTGGAGAAAAAGAAAATAAAAGAATACAATATGTTAGCTTTTAGAGCTAAACCAGAAATGTTAAATGACCAAACAAAAAAACAAATGATAATACAATTGTTGAAAGGGCGCCATCTAATTTTGTTGTTATATATTCAAAGATGTATTTTTTCACCTCTGTAACCAAGCAAAGAGAAAGGGACGTTAGTGTTTCTTTTACACTAATAATTGTTATGATAACAGTAACTAACAATTGTTATGATAGTTTTTATAAACAAAATTAAAAAACATATCTGGTGGACCAGAAGATGTGTTTCTTCTGGTCCACCAGATATGTTTTTTAATTTTGTTTATAAAAACTATCATAACAATTGTTAGTTACTGTTATCATAACAATTATTAGTGTAAAAGAAACACTAACGTCCCTTTCTCTTTGCTTGGTTACAGAGGTGAAAAAATACATCTTTGAATATATAACAACAAAATTAGATGGCGCCCTTTCAACAATTGTATTATCATTTGTTTTTTTGTTTGGTCATTTAACATTTCTGGTTTAGCTCTAAAAGCTAACATATTGTATTCTTTTATTTTCTTTTTCTCCAATACTAGTTTGTGTACTAGTGGAACTAATGTCTAAAGAACCATTGCCACGTCTCTTCCGACTTTGAGCAACGTTGCCTCGTTCATTTTCTGTTGCATCAAACACTCCATCGTTTGATGTGCTTCAAGACCAGTCTCTTTTAAAACGATAATGGTTAATATATCTGAAATACATTAAAAATGCTACGAGCGCCTTGGACGAATGAATAAAGAGAGAATACCACGAAAAGTTTGCAACTGGACAATCAACACAAAGAAATAAACAAAGAAAAAAGAAATCTCAAAATATTCAGATAGGAATGTAAAGTAGAATGTTAGTGAATAAAGACATTTTGTCAAAAAACAAGCCCTGTTTATCTAATGAAAATTAATTTTTATCAACTAAATTTTGACATATATTATAATTAATTTTATTTCAAATTGTTGTTTTATAGGCGAGCTACCCCTACTTTTACCCCTAAAAAGACGCTTAGAAATGGTGTAAAAGTTTGAAAACTTTTAAATAATTTTTCAAAGTTTAAAAAATTTATTATTATGATTTCTAGAAAATATTCAAATTAATATTGCTCATGCCATCTATCCGCCAAGTGTGGAAGCACCTAAATTACCTCAAGGATTCAACTGCATTTCATAATAGTTCCGACATTTACCCCAAAAGCGAGAGTTACCAATATCTGCTAACCTTCTTGCAATTTATCCCTCTTTTCTCTTTTTGAACGTCCAGAATACAGGACACTAGCTCTTCGCTCTGCTGGCTGATACGATATGACTATGACGCCGTGATTTCGCTAGACCGGCCGAAATTATGCGAGCTTGCTAACGAGTGATATCTTTGAATAAGATAAATTCCGTAAGACGCAGTTTAAAAAGGATAAGTGCTTATAGAGGCGTATTTAGATTTTTAAGAGGATGTATTAAACTCAAGGCTATTTGAAGAAAAACATTCGAAAATATGGTTCTATAATCTGATACATGGTCTCATAAAAGTTAATGATTTCTGAATTAAATTAAGTTTAAAACATAAAAGTGTTGTACAGCATTACAGTCTAACTATTTACGTTCTTGTGGGTCTGTTGTCTGTCGTTACATAACGAGAAAATCTTAAAATAATCGAGCGGAGCAGTGCGCCTTTACCCCACCAAAGCTGTATTTCCCTTGGGCTCCCCGTTTTATTTGGGAATCGTGTGTTAGAGGCCGTTTGGACTCAGTGCTTTTCTCTCCTGGATTTTTGGTGTTGTAGTGGACGTTTTCTCCTCTTGTATGGATTTGAATATTAGGAATTAGAGGATGGATCGAGGTGGTGTGCTATGATAATTTGAAAAACTAACCAAGAAAGATCGCCGGTAACGATTGAAGATTACTCAAGACAAATTGAAGGGGAGCAGATTTAGCCTCATGCAGAAACCACATCAGCTAATAAAAGATTGGTCCTAGAACATGTTTAAGTAAATGAATAAGCCTGTTTGATACTGTCACTCAAGTACCACAAGTTACTCTAAAAAGTTACTTCGTCTTTAAAACGATAGATTTGTCTTGACTGAGTTTTGATTGAGTTTAAGCTATTGATTGTATAATATTATAATGATTGGTTTTCTTTTTTAGTTGGCATTTACAGCTGCCTCACCTCTCCATAGAGGATTCATTACAGATATAGACTGTCGATGGAACATAATCTCCGGATCGGTGGATTGTCGAACGGAGGAAGAACGTGGTCTGAAACCGTTGAAAGAAAATAAATTTGTTATTAAAAAGTCCCGATATGATTCAATCGATTCCTACTTGTCTCCTCAAGGCGAAAAATATAACGATATACCTCTTTTATATAACGAGGAGGATTACAAGAAATTGATCGATAATGGAATAGATCCCTTGCTAGCAGGACATATAGCGCATTTGTTTATTAGAGATACGGTATCGTTATTTTCTGAAAAGGTTCATCAAAATGATGAAGAGGATTCGGACCATTTTGAAGTAAGTAAAAACGTATTTTTACACTGGTTCATAGAATAACGTTTTAACCAGCATTTATGATATTCTTCAGAAATGATAAAAAAAGATACCAATTTCTTTGATTTCTTTTTTATATGTATGTGACATTTTTTCAGTGTAAGAAGTAAGTAGTTATACAAATGTTGAACTCCTCTTTTAGAATAAGGTCTAGTTTTTTTATTAGAGAATAGGTTTTTGAACTGTGACAGTTACAGTTTTTGATATAAATATAAAGATTCATCGAATAATCTTGTAACTGCACTTACGATGTTCTCATCGGAAAAGTTAATATGAATTTCAAATTATTGCTCGTTGTAGGTTAAGGAATAATAACAGTAGATAGTTTTTAAAATGCAAATTTTATTACAAACTAAATATAAATTCGAATTATATTTAAAATGAACATATTTATTTTATGTCTAGTCTTCCATATCGCTGTCTTGATTAATGTTTTTGCAATCAACTGGCAGATTTTTAAAATAATCTTGGCAAGTGACAGGAATGCACTGGCTTCGACAGAAACTCTGCAGATTATCATATTTTGCTTTTGTTATCCCTAGATAAGATGAGTATGTTAGATGAAGATTCTTAGAAAGATCTTTACTAGAAATTGCTAACCTTTTTTGTTTCCTGGAGATAGGTTTCTGTAGCAAGTTTAACTCAATTTTTTTATTGGATATGAAATCATATTGAATATTCACCGCGCCAGGATTTGTTTCAGAAATATTTATGTGTTTCAACATGTTCCAGACCATTTTTTTTTATTTTCTTCATTTATATACCAATTTGGAAATGTCATCAAGTTTTTTAAAATCAAATATATTGTCTTTGTGCAGTTCAGATACCAAATACGGTTTACCTGTTGTTTTTGCACATCTTACTAAGCTTATTCATTGCTCGGGAATAAAAACTGTTTGGTTCTTTCTACGTCGCTCTATTAAGGCGTGCATGGAAACTCTCTCTTTTTGGGAATGACTTACCTCAAAATAATTGTGCGTTATGTTTTAAAAAATAACACCTGCACTGTGTACTATTCAACTGCAAACTAAACACCGGGACCGGAAAACAAGATCTGTCTATTTCTCCCTACTATTCTCACAATAATGCCGCGAAATATTGACACACGACGTGTATCAATATTTCGCGGCATAATTATCGGACTTAGCAGCCAATTCGGCGAATAAAATTGTAACAACAATTACGGTATAGTTTTTGAAATATTAGAATTATTTTGATACACTATGGTACGATACAGTATTTTTCGACGAAAATTTGATTTGATTCAACGTCGTATCTGTAGTTACTCTGTTATTCTACAAATAATTCATTTTTTTATATATATTTACGGTATTATTCTGTTCGAAATCTTTCTTATTAATGCAGTTACAGCCACACCGACCGTGTTGGCAGATAGAGCGTAAAAAGTTATTCAAGAAGAACACTGTAACTTAAAATCGCCAAAAAATGTTAGTTACAACGTTATTCTATGCAGGGGTCGATATATGAGTGGTTCATAATCAGAGGTGACTATACAAAAAAGTCACTCTTTTGAGATAATTGGTAGCAATGTTAATCGGTTATATAAATTTGTAAATAAAGTAACATAACCCATTTTGGGGTTTTTTTTATGGGAGAAACTACAATAATTCAGGTAGAATAAAGCAAAAAAATATTTCAAAGTTAGCTTTATTTTTAAAGAAAAAAGGGAAAAAAATTGTATAGGCGTTTTTCGCACTAACAAAACTGAAAAATATTTTGAACGGTAAAATAGTATTACTCTGTCTTTTCTTCTTGAATCTGTGCTAGACATGTATCCATCTCATTGGCGCACTTTTAGCGCGAGTTTTAAAATAGTCGTGGTGCATAGGAGGCACCTACTTTAACGATGATATTAGATCTTTCTTTTTCTCTACTGTATCCCTCGTTCTTTGGGAAATAGTAAATCTAGCTTCATGTATGGATTTGTTGAAGGACAGCCACGTATCTTTTGCGTGAAGTCTACTTCAGAATAATAACTATCAGTGTTATAGTTATATTTAAAATACATTTTTCTCGGCTCAGATTGTTATAACTGGATCCAGGAAATTTTAAGCCATTCTACTTTTTCTCCTGTTATTGGTTTCTTTCTATTTACGATGTTTTACTCCAATTTTTTGGTACTGAAGAAATCATTTTTTTTATTTTATGAGTACAAAATTTAGGCACCTTTTTTTGAGATTTACGCTTTATTACGTTTATTACGCTTATCCAGTCGTCTGGCACAAATATGTTTTCGTGATATTTTTTTCCTTGTTAATAACACGAAAATTTTGATCACAAGTTGAAAAACTGTGTCCAAACAAAAACTTTTAGATTTATTTCCTTTATTTTGCTTCTTTGCATTTCATGAAGAAGACCTAAAACGACTTTTCATTCCTATTCTCTTCTCCACAACTATCAGAATATAAAGCACGTGGTGTTCTTTCTTATTAAAAGCTTAAAACTTTATTTTAAAAAAGATCTTTTCGGAATTAAATTATTCCATCATCAGTTTAATAAAAAGTTGTTAAAAACATTGTTTAGCCACAGAAAAACACTAGAAGGACATCAGTAATAAAAAATTCTCGTGGAATTTACCAAGGTAAATGCAATAGACCATTAACTTCGGTAATTAATAAAAAAAACTACAACTGGGGGCATTTAACATGTCCCCCAGGAGCTGGTGAAATTTTGTCGACTTACATTACCTCTGATCTGTGCTGGAGTCTAGGGCTAACTGATAGAAAGATGGTATAAAAAATCAGTCAGTACCCGTCAACGTCAAGTAACGTCACTTTTCGGCGAAGAAAGGAAAAAATCTAGTACTGGAAAATCAAGTTTTTCATGTGATTAAAAGCATGTAATTAAAAACAGTAATAATAAAAGTTATGATATAAAAACAAAAATCACCAGGTAGGCTGCAGTTAGCTTGAAGCCTTATGAAATATAATTTAAGGTAAATTATTTAAATTTTTCCTATTTCAATTGCATAAAAATGAAATTATGTGATATTTACTTTTTATATTAATAGCACGAATCCATCTTTTTCTTTTCTCTAATTTTTATGTAATCTTTGGAAACCTAGTTATCTTTGAGACAACTACTTAAATTAAATAAAGAAATTCAGACGGGAGAAATAAAGAGAAGGATACGGTTGACTTGGGTATTCTTCAGAAAACTTTCCTATAGACTAAAAAATGGAAAATACCCCCAATATTTAAAAATAAGAGTCTTCAACCAATGTATACTTCCTGTTCTCACCTACGGTTCTCAAACTTGGACGTTTACAAAGGAAAACATGGAAAAAATAGCAAAGAGCCATGGTAAAGCAAATGCTGAACATTAGGCTATCACATAAGAAAAGAAATATTTGGATCCTCAACAAAACAAAAGTGACCGATGTATCAACGCAGCTAGCAAAGTTAAAGTGGAAGTTTGCTGGACATACCATAAGACAAAAAGACGACAGATGAAATAAGATGATTATACACTGGAGACCATACAGTTACAAACGAAAAAGAGGAAGGCCACAAATGAGATGGTCAGATGACTTGAAGAAACACGCAGACCCGAAGTGGATACAAACTGGCTACAATAGAGATACGTGGAAGAAGGAAGAGGAGGCCTATGTCCAAAACTGGACAGCAAGGGCTGTATAAATAGATAGATAGACTATACTCCCTATGTCAAGTGCAAAATCTCATAGCTTAGACAAGGGAAAATGGGCTAAATTTGCATTCATATCTTTTGAAGATTCTTGACGTACTAGATATTTTCGTTTTCGCCAACAGACTACAATAAATTACAGACTTACAATATATTTATTTAGTTTGCGACTACAGGTAAAGTACAATTTTAAAATGAATCCGGTACAATGTCTGTTGTTAAGATGGCGTGTATTTATGCACAAATAAGCATTCCATACACGCAATCTTTACAACGGACCTTTGGATACCTTACCGGAATTATGGTCAAATTGTACTTTACCTGATGATGACAAGAAAACTGTAATGGTCAAAACTGCTAAATAAATAGATTGCCAGTAAGTCCGTAATTTTTTTCTACAACCTTGTTGAAATTGTCCCACATAGGCAACCAATTCATTATTTATATGAAAATTATTATCTATATTATATTATTATAACAGCTTTTTGATTGCAGACCTGTGTTCTTATATAAACTTTAATACAATTTCCTTTTTTTTTTTCACAGAATATTCAGTCAACGAATTGGCAGACGATGAGATTTAAACCTCCACCTCCTCAATCAACGATCGGATGGAGAGTAGAATTTAGACCGTGTGAGGCTCAAATTACAGATTTCGAAAACGCTGCTATAGTGTGTTTCGTAGTACTATTAACCCGGGTGATACTTTCTTACCAGTTAAACTTCTTAATACCAATTAGTAAAGTAAGTAATTTTGTTATACCTTCAATTTCAATTTACTTAGTTTCGAAGTGTGTTGGACACAATTTTTAACGTACTAATGTGTAGATTTACCATATGACATATTTGAAATATTTAAAAATTCTTTTTTGTGACCTTTGACCTATATAAACTCATTCTCCGTTACATGGATTATCACAAAATTATATAACTGTCTTGAATGATCTTTTTAACCCAGTGTTAGTACTAGACCTCTAAGTCTGTGTTGTTTTCTATGACTTTCTCTTGACTTAACTCGCTACATTTTGTGGCGTGACATTGTTGTGGTGCCATATTTTAATTTTTGTTATTTTTTTTATCGATTTATTTAGTTTTACGTATTCTTTCATTATTTGTGAATATTTATCTTGTTCATTTACACAAATCTTAAACAGTAAGTTTATTTCGAATATTGGTAATGACTGGTAGGAATTTTTATGTTGAATGTTTCCGACAGTGTCTGTCAAAATGTTCTCAAGCTCAGTGAATCGAGGCCTTCATTATCATGTCAAAATAATATTTAATTTTGTTTTTCAATTTTAGGTGGATGAAAACATGCAACTAGCGCAAAAGAGGAACGCTGCACGAGACCAGAAATTCTGGTTTAGACGAGATATCACCACACACGTGAGTCCACCCGCAGCAAACGAGTGTTGCAAAGGAACTACAAAAGACTGTGATATGTTTGTTCAAATGACTATTAACGAAATCATTAATGGAAAAGTAAGTTTACAATTTTATCTTCCATATAGATTTTAAAAATCTGCACATAGAGTGTGGTGAATCGTCAAAAGGGCCATAGGAAACTCAATGGGATATTCTAAATGATTGAATTCCTACTTCCCTAATTATTTTACACCAAAAGTCATGGGAAACTCTTTGTAGAGGACTAAAAACTGTATAGAAAACAAATGTTTACGAATTAAACGTATTCCAAAATTTTGCAAAAACAAAATACATTTTTTTAGGCCACACGCAGTGCAAGAATGTGTAGGACGTGTTGCGTTTGCTCATATTGATGTTTTTGATATTTGGCAATATTTTCATTGCCATTTTATTTTATGATTTATTGTTTAAAAAACAATAAAGTTTATTAAAAAATGTACTCGGTTTAGGAAAAAGTAGCAAGCTATATAGTTTAGCAGCATATCTTAGTGTGGTATATTGTCTTCTTATAAACAAAGGTGGTTCATTTAGTGCAGCTTGAAGACTTGCCACCGGACTAGTACGGAAATCACCCAGCACATGTCTCAAAGATGCACTTAGTCCTTTATAAATAGTTTCTTATGACTTTAGATGTAAAATAATTAGGGAAGCAGGAATTCAACAATTTAGAAGCATATTCTATATATTTAAAAAACTCTTATTTTTAGGGGGAAGAATTTCCTGGTCTTATTCCACTTATTAACAACTACTTAAGCGGCATGGACGTTGACGCCGACACGCACTGCACAATTCAACAGTATTTGAAGTTTATACAAAGGCGAGCATCAGGCGAAATCCTTACAACAGCTTCATGGATAAGAAAATTTGTTACAGAACATCCAGAATATAGGTAAATGGTTATTGCAAATTTATGTTTCTTCCCATTTTCATGTTTTGAAGTTGGCCGACTTGCACAATCTAGACACCTTCACAGTTAATACATGGTATCTCGTAAACAACGTGATTTTTTCAGTTTTGGAGTTTGTGTTTTTAGTTTCGTAATTTTTTTATTTATAAATAAAATAAAAGGTTGTTGCCTTTGTGAGCCACTGTTGTTATGTTTGGCCAAAAGATTCTTTAGTTGTTCGGATAAAACTTTTATATATGAAAGAATCTTGATACTGTTAGTTGTATTGTTATTTAGTCTCGATTTGAAAATAGTTTCGATTAGGTGTTTAGGATATGCATTATGTACCTGTTGCACATCCATCCATTTGTTAGTGTATTTCGTCCTTATATAAAAAGTATGTTGAGTTTAATGTTAGATCTGCAGATGATTGGAATTCTTGCAATGGGAAGTTAGTGTACTTATGTCATTCCACTTCTTTTTAATTATGTCAGTGGCAAGTTTTGGGATGTTAGTGTATAGTGAAATGACATATAAAGATATTAATTTATAATTGATGGATTCGACCGTTACTTGATGGAAATTCATTTTATTTAACAATAAAACACTGAAAACTTTGTTTTCAAACTTCCACAAAATTTATTTTAAATCTTATCACTACAGCTGTTTCGGCTGATTGCCTTTCTCAAGTGATCTATTTTTGGCTTGGGTTTACAAATTTATGGTCTCTAATGAAATAGGTTGAGGAGGGGAGAACTGTTTGTCTCAAGTTGGTCATTCAGAATTATATCTGTGTTTTTTAATTTGTTGATTTCCATAGATTCTAACAAAGATAGCTTAACTGGTATACTATGACACATCCCGATAGATTTTAACACTGTGAAAGCCCTGAAATTAGTATTTCCACCACCAGAGAAAAAAACCCAGTACCTTCTGCTCGATTACATATACAGGCAAAATAACAACAAAAATTGCCAAACACATAAAAAAGAAAGGAATAACACCAGCTTTCCGAACAAATAACAACCTAGGCAAATATATTAAAAATAACAAGAGCCAAAATAAAAAACACTTAAATAGTGGTGTGTACAAACTTCAATGTGGCGACTGCCCAAAAACTTACATCGGTCAAACTTTTAGAAACTTTGATAAACGAATAGCAGAACATAAAAGGGCTTTCAAGAATAGAAAAACAGATTCGACATACGCACTTCACCTTCTAGATCACAATCATTCTTTTAATGACAAATTTAAAATTCTTCACATTCAAAATAAAGGCCTTAAGCTATCTTTGTTAGAATCTATGGAAATCAACAAATTAAAAAACACAGATATAATTCTGAATGACCAACTTGAGACAAACAGTTCTCCCCTCCAAAACCTATTTCATTAGAGACTATAAATTTGTAAACCCAAGCCAAAAATAGATCACTTGAGAAAGGCAATCAGCTGAAACAGCTGTAGTGATAAGATTTAAAATAAATTTTGTGGAAGTTTGAAAACAAAGTTTTCAGTGTTTTATTGTTACATATTAATTTATAGTTATTTGGTACATGCATGTTTTTAATTTTAGAAATAAGGTCATTGGAATCTTTCATATTATAAGGATTATTATTTCTGGCATTAGAAATAATGTTTTTAACGTCATTCGTTTTATCATGTATCCAATATACGAGAAGGAGCAAAATACAAAGGACTTAAAGATTTGTTACATAGGTGAAAAAGCATTACACATGTGTATCGCTTGTACAGACATAAATCACAATATTCAAAATATATTTTGTTATAATTAATCATTAAAGTACAGACCTGTGTTACAAAATTTATCACAAAACCCTAACTATTCGCGAACAACATGACCTACGGCCAAGTGTCCTATTAAAAAGATAAGATTTTAAAAACTTTTTACCCTTTTCGGGCACTTGATTGTTCGTATCGTTGACTCTTTATCGTCTTTTTCCGTAGGTACTTCTTTTGGCATCGTAACTACTTTCCTGATTGGTTGTCGACTATAACCACCTAATTACTGATCAGATGGTCGATAGTCTGTATGTGGTTCTGTACATCCTCTGTATGTCAAGGATGTCTCTGGTTTTAAGGAGTCTTCTTGTGACTTGGTGGAAGAAATATTTTGTCCTGTTCTCAGCCACCTCTTACAGTGGTGTGTACTGGAGCCTTTCTTGACTGGTTGCATTTGTAATTCTATCTTCCCATGTCGACCCGTCGATTAGTCTATAACATGTCGTCACAGTTCTTTTAAAGTTGTTTCCAGTTGGTCTCTGCTGTTCCAAACTAGGACTGTATACAATATCACTAGCCTAACGTCGGCCTGGTATAATTGGATGTGATTGTGTCGTGTCGATAATCTTTCTTTATGGTTGGATATTCTCTCGTTTGTGTTTTGTTGTCCTGTTTTAGATGTGACACCACTTCAGGACGTGGTTTGTTTTTCTTTAGTGGGTTGGCTTTTTCTTGTATTGGTTCTACTGGGGGATCGCTTCGTGAATGTGTCTGCGGAGAAGAATCCTGCACAATCAGAGGTGAAATGGTTGTTGAACTAAAACGGTCCTTTTCAGAATTTTATTAGTGAAAATATGGTTATAAATTGACTGAATTTACTATGTATCTTATTTAATTTAATTAGTAAATGTATGATTGTGACTCGCGTGAGGGCATCTTATCCTCTGCAATTGACAGGTGTCATTACCTGTCTAGGATCCCTCTCTGTCTAGGCAAGCACTAGGTGAGCATTTATTGGTTGTTAGGACGTCAATGTATTCATCAGGGAGTACGTTGCTGGCAAGGTCCAATAATTTAGTGGGTAGGAAAGGGAGTTTAGGTTTAGGTCGTCTTTTGAATACATTCCCGATGGATGAACCAGTAGTTTTCAAGATATTTTGGGCTCAAAAATTGAAGGGAGTGGCGAGTCGTCTTGTTTGTTGCACGGTAGTCGAGGTCAAATCAGGGTCATTGGAGGTGATTAGGCTGTTTTGTAAATATATTTTAAAGGCCTTGACCTTCTGTTGATCTGAGTTAATAATTTGGTTGTTCCCCACAAGGTGAGAAGGCTTGTTGGTTTTCTGTTTAGGTAGGATTTTAAAGTTGGACCAGAACGCTCTATTGTCACGATAATCAAGACTAGAGGTAGCTGCAAGCCATTGATTGGCTTGCAGATTATTAACATGTAGTTTGATCACCGCAGACAAGCGGTCGTATTCTGTTTTGACTAGGGGGTTGCGGGTACGGTGAAACTGACGGAGGAGTCGTTTCTTATGTTTGATTTTATCGATAATTTGTTGAAGTAGAGGGGTTTGCTAGGGTTGAAAACCCTATTGGGGACTGATATCTCAATCGCTTGATTTATCAGTTCATTAATGACCGCGATACCATGATCGATATCATCAGGATTATTTAAGTCATCTAACTGTGGAGTGTTAACTGAAAAAGGCTTTGAAGAGGTTCCAGTCAGCATGTAGTCTCTTATCATTTGGGGAGGATTGGGAAGTAAAGGATTAAGTATCTGTTCTTTAACCAGCAAAGGAAGGTCGTCAATAATACATTCGTCATCCAATAAATCGATTAAATCGTAAGTGCATAAAAGTCGGTTCACGGTTACGTATTCGATGAATAGGAAGGCTAAGGAGCAGATCTGACAGGAGAATGTCTGCACGGTTAGTAGCCGTGTCGCCAAATTGTGTGTTCCTGGCGTTAAAGTCTCCAAGTATGATGGCTTAATTCAGGCACATGGAGACATAGTCAAGCAATGCTTGGGATAGGGGTTGAAGAGGGTGCTTGTAATAAGGGACTAGTGTCAGTGTGGTGTTGTTATCAAGGTGCCTGTCCCCTGCCAGGAAGTCTTAATCATTCAGGAATTGTCTCTTATTGTATTGATTTTTTTAAGTACTGACATTTTATTAGCGGCGCTCTCTCTGTACTAATAAACAAAACATAAAAGGCACCTTACGCATCGAATTTTGTTATCAAAATTGTGCAGTAAAAATATTAATTATATAAATAAAATATTATTAATTAAATACATATTATAATATTTTATTTAAAACTCACTATACACTTTATAGATACCTAGTAATCATATTCTTTTTTCAGGCACGATTCTGTAGTGACAGACCGAATAAATTACGACCTTCTCAAGACAATCGAGGAAATTCAATCCGGCAAAAAATACTGTCCCCTGCTTTTAGGAACCAGCACGATGTCAAAAACTAAAGAAAATATACCATCGGCTTTAAGCAATGATTGTTAAAATATTATTATAGTACTTAAAACAAACAACAGCGAATTGGCACTGAAAGAAAATTTGTTTTATTAAGACACGTTGCGTTGATATTATCTGAGCATTTGATCAGTAGTTTAAATATAATTGAAGACTGGGCATAAATATGTATAATGATTTATTTCTTATTTGACAGTTAATTTTTTGATAGTAAAACGTAAGTAAAATGTATAACTTACGTTCTAAGCCAACATTTGCATTACACCTTACAACTTTTTTAGTTTTTTTCTCGTATAGAAATGAAAAATAATATTGTGTTCATAATTACGTAAAAAATGACAAGTGTCATATAAATTTATCGCCAAAAACGAAGCACCATGGTCGTGGCACCTAGCCGAATCTAGCGTCGTGATCTCGCGATTAATCTGGCGAATTATTCTAAATCCACTTCTGTATTTTATTTAAAATGACTTTTAACGTATGAAAGAAGAAGCACGTGCATTTCTAATATAAGATAGTATAATGAATAACGCAAAAAGGGAGCAAGAACTTATCATCTGCCTGTTATTCATCTGTGAGCAATTGGTCACAAAGTTTCTCAGCTGGAGGATGGCTCACATGACGCATAAACATCTAATGTCCTAATTCCAAATTGATTACAAAGTTGCTCAGCTCGACTTAGTAACGTTAGATGTATGTCAGACGACGTGTTATGCATGCTTGTCAGATAACGTTATCTGACATGTATTTAAAATGTCGTCTGACATACATCTAATATCACCAAGCCGTTCTCGAGCTGAGCAACTTTGTGATCAATTTGGCATTTAGGACATTAGATGTTTTATGGAGATTTACATGGAAAAATGATAAATTTTGTGCTCAGAGTTACCTTAGAGAGTACACTGTATTTTCTACCTAGAGAATTATCTAATGGTTTAGACCATTATTAGTTTTTCTGTATGTTTTTCAGTTTTTACTTACTTCGGGATGACAGACATCAGAGCCACACAAAACTAAGCTATTTTTGTTATTAGTTTTAGGAAAAAGAAGGATTAAACAATTGTAAGTTTATAAAGGAATGATTAAAAAAGTGAATATTACCTTAAAATTGGTTAACAAGAACTAAGAATGCAAGATCTGATTTTTAAAACCTACCGTTTGATAATAAAATGCGATTAGCTATTGAAAATAATACCACCTAAAATTAAAACCAAGTATTGTGGATCACGGGATGCTAGACAGATGTAAAACAATCGCTGTATGTAATTGTAATAGCAGATGTTACATATCTGAACGTTACTTGGTCGCATACACTTGCCAAGAATACGGTAGTCAAATACAGAGGCACTTACACAAATTCAGAGGGCGAAAGTGTGGTATGATGACGAGATAAGCTAGATCATGCATTTTGACATCACTGGATTCGTGTCGATCTTACTTCTAAGGCACGCCGATAAATGTATCATATCAAAAAGGTATAACGGAATTCAAGATCCTAATGTCCAATATAAATTATGCTTTATCTTGATACTGTATACACTTTTGAACACTACTCTTGTTATTCCATGTAACTGGTATACTATGACACATCCCGATAGATTTTAACACTTTTATCAGAATCCATAATAATAAATAGAAAACTCATGCTTTATTGACCTAATATATTGCTTAAGCAATACAATCCACAGTACGCAATAATAATTATTAACAATATATATAATTAACAAAATACATTTCAAAATTTCCATTCTTCAAATAAAACGTATAAACAGCATTAATAAAAAGTTACTCTAATTAAATTAATGATTGTAGTTTTTAGCCAATATATAGATGACTTATTTTTGTGGGTTAACAAAATTTTTTTCAGGTGCCAACATACGCTTTGTTTTAAACGTAAACTGTTTAGTCATTTTTTAGTTTTGTTATACTTAAAGAAGAATTTTTATATGTATTTATAGAAATAGAATGTTGCAGTATTTTACAACAACAGGGCATTTAAAAGATTTTACATATTTATAGTTGTGTTAAATAGATTATTCTTGCTAAAACTGTTTTTTATTTTTGTCCTATTCATTACATTATTCTGTTTCCAAAAGAAATCACCAATGAAAGTACTGCGAACGGCAGCTAGATGGTTGGCGGAGAGCGAGTCGTGTAGTTCGAAACTAGCTTTTGGAACCAGGAATGAATCCAACAGAAGAAATAATAAAGATAAGATGGATTAGAACAAACAGACAACATATAAAAAGAGAGATAGGTAAAACTACCAAAGATAAGAAAAAGGCGCCACATAACTTTTTCGGATTACAAAGGGGAAAATTAAGAAATCTTAGAAACGAAAAGAGATAAGGAGAGATAATTAGGTTCTAAGAGCAAATACAAAGATATTAACAGTTAATCTATAATATAAAAATAAATCGAGATACGGCTCTGACCTTGGTTTAGCAAACCACATTTAGGTTAGCTCCGATAATATCGTTTAAATCTAATAGATTAAAGTGATCAAAAATAGTTAAAAGTGTTTACTACAAAAATCTAGAGTGCTTTTCATCGATTGGTCTACAATCGCAGTGAGTAAAATTAATATTCTCAATAATACATAATTACAACATATTCTGATAGTCAACAAAATTATCACAAAGGCCGTTTCAACCGGTTTCAGAGCGGGTTTTATTTAAAACTCTGCTGATAATACAGAGCCGGATTGGCACGGGTAAAAAATTGACTATGATAAATAAATTTAAAGACAAAAATTATTAACCAAAAATGAATCCAAAAGAGAATAATCCTTCAAAAAACACCACACCATCTACATACTCAAACATACTAACTTCATTCAAATATCCGGCAAAAGACCAAGCTATTGTACTATCTGCCATAGAAGGAATTAAAATTCATGATTATATAGTTGCCATTGGATCACTTGTCCTTCCAAAGAACATAGTTTTTGCCTCGAAAATTGCAAACAACCGCATTTGCATTTATTTATCTTCTAAAAGAATAGTAGACCAACTCATTGATTCACACAAATACGTCAAAATCAGCAACGTGCAAGTAGAAGTCCGCAGATTAATAACTCCAGCATTAAGATTAGTCATCTCGAATGTTTGTCCAACCATTCCAAACGAAGTTATAGAAGAAGAACTCAAGAAAATGGGAATTATAGCCATATCAAAAATGACATTTCTTCGAGTGGGTATGTCTGAGACAGAATATAACCATGTTCTAAGTTTTCGGCGGCAAATCTACATCAATCCATTAGAAAACTTATCCATAACAGACTCTTTCAACATTTCTTTTGATTCCACAACATATCGAATATACCTTTCTATAGACGAATTTAATTGTTCTAAATGTCGAACAATAGGACACCGAGAAGTTGACTGCATTCAAACAACGGATTCGCCCAGTGAACAAATGGAAACAGAAGTACCTGAAAATCCTAATTCAAATAACCAAACCAATATAGAGCTAACTGAAACCACCAATAAAACTCCATCTGAAGTCAACATTCCCTATAACCCTCCAGCTCCTACCCTATCTATAACTAGCAACGATAACCCATCTTTAAATAAAGATAAGGCCAAAAGACAATTATCAAATTCTCCAGATGTTTCTGATATTCCCACATCACAAGACGTCTTCTCTGTTCCCAAAACATCTAAACCAAAAAAAAGGGCCAAGTCGACTGAAAATACATTTGCTGTCCTCGATCCTATTAAAAACTTAATAGAACAAAAAAATCCGCCCTTTCCTATAGGTTATTCAGAAATATGTCTATTTTTAGAAAATGCCACTAACTCTAAAAACCCTGAACTTATAGCAAAAGAATACACCAATGAAATATCCGAAATTATTGACATTCTCACTTTTATCCACGCAAATATTCAAAATCCCTCTTTAAAAAGAACAATTACAACTATTAAGAAAAAATTATCCTCAAATTATTATTCATCTACAGAAGAATCTGACAACGACACAATTAGTCAGGATAAATAATGTCTGATACATTTTTAATTCAATGGAACCTAAACGGATTCTACACCCACCTTGAGCAATTAAAACTTCTTATAAACGATTTCTCCCCCATTGTAATTTGTCTGGAAGAATCTCACTTTAAAAACAATTCTGTAACACTTAGAAATTATGTGCCATTTCTGAAAAACAGAAATGGAATGCATGCTAGTGGTGGAGTAGCTACTTTCGTTCGAAATGACACTGAAGCAAAAATCATTCCACTTATTACAAACCTGGAAGCTGTGGCTGTGTCAATTACCTACAGTAAAAACATCAATGTTTGTAATATATACTTACCGCATCCTAACCAGGACGACATAAATGAACTAACAGCACTCATAGAAAAATTACCCCATCCCAAAGTAATTCTAGGCGATTTTAACTGCCATCACCCAGCGTGGGGTAGCCAAAAAATCGATAAATGTGGCAACTTTCTACACAGTCTGATAAATAAGTCAAATTTAATCTTATTAAACACTGGAAAGCCAACAAGATTCAATTCATATAACGGATCATTCTCTGCAATTGACCTGACTCTGTGTAGCCCATCACTAGCACACATGTTTCAATGGAAGACAGCAAAAACTCTGTACGACAGTGACCACTTCCCCTTACTTATTTCAATCGAGACAAACCAACCTCTTAATCCGAATGTATATCAAAGATGGAAAATAAAATCCGCAAACTGGGAACTTTTTCAAAAAGACTTGGAAGACGAGATGAAAAATTATGAGATATCAAATGACATTCACAAAACCGTCACGGACTTTAACAACATTATCTTAAATTGTGCATCTACATCTGTAGGAAAAACTGTAAAACCGTGTAAAAGGCAACCGGTACCTTGGTGGAATCAAGAAATCTCTCGGGCCTTGGCTGCTAGCAAGCACGCCTTTAATGTTTTTAAGAGACACAAAACAGAGGAAAACCTAATAAAATTTAAGAGATTGAGAGCTAGTACACGATTCTTAATAAAAAAGAGTAAGAAGGAGACCTGGATTGAATATGTTAGA